GTAGATATCAGCCAGGATGGGACTGAGGGGGCTTCCCATGGCTAATCCCTCAGTTTGCTTGTAATATTTATTTTGGAAAACAGAATATTATTTCAAACAGAGTTGAGTGAGAGAAATTAGCTCATCAATTTCGATGCAAGAGAAATGATATTCGCGAAGTCTGGTTTCTAGACATCTTAATGCACCCTCCACTGGGACATTGGTGTATAATGATTTTACATCAAAACAAACCATGAGTAAATTACGAGGAGAAATGTTTTTAACCTTTTTACAAACTCTATTGAATTTTTTATGGTGTAAATGTTATTGTCTAATAGAGTGGAAAATCTAGAAACTAAATATTTAGCTAATGGATACGAGGCAGTACCTAAATTTGATACAATAGGGCGGAAAGGAATACCACTTTCATTTTTGCACGTGGTGTGGCCGCCATTTTGTGATTGTAGGAGTTTCGGTGAGTACATTTTTGCAATTTTCAAGTTATGTTTATGTTTTGTACATTTGGATATTGTGCTTTGCTTGTCTGATTTTTCATGCATTTTGCTTACAAACGTTTTGTTTTCTATTCATTTCAGTGAGGGATTTTTCTGCTGTTTTGTGTGTATTTTATTATTGCTCAGTTAATTTAGTTTGATTTTCTGCATTGTTTATCATGCCTTCATCCGTTAATCGTTTCACTAAATTACGCCTGAAACGGCAAAAAAATTCCTGAATCATCTTGACTTTTTACTTAAATGTAAATGTAAAAAATTGATCCCCAATTTTATTCAAATCAAATCTAATCAAAAACCTTCGAGTCGCGTTTCAAGAATTCTGTTAAATTGCAAGCTTGCCTTACTTCGGTCCGTGATAAGGGATACACGTCAACAATTGTCCAAAATTGAACATGAACTCTATAAGCTTCATCTGGAACTCGCTAAAACATATCCAAAATTCACTGCCCTTGAACAAAAGTCTTGGTCTAGAACGGAGAATGCAGTTAACCGTCATAAAAACACCCTTGCAGTTAAATTCGAAAAACTTCTTTTACAGTCTTCCAGTCCAAGTAGTTCAAAAAAAATCTTCCCATTGTAAACATCAAGCCAATAGTTAATATTTCTAATGTTAGTCTTTCAGAAGAACAAGAGAGAATTCTAAAATATAATTTTAACTTCTCACAAACCTGTAAACCCTCGATTCCAAAGATTTTGGCTCCTATCGAAAAAGCTTTCAAGTTCAGTAAAGTTTCAGATTCACAGAAAGAAATGATTAGGCATCTTATCGCTCATAATGTGAAATTCAATAATAAACCTTTGAAACCAAATCTAACTGCGAGAGAAAGAGCTACAATGCGCGAAATTCATTCTAACCCGGATATTGTCATTTCAAAGGCCGACAAAGGTGGCCAGATAGTCGTCATGGATAAGAACACTTACATCGATGGTGTCACTAAACTCTTAAACGAAGGACCATATAATCCGATCCCTAAAGATCCTTCACCTTCGGACTTATCCAAAATAAAAACTGCGATCAAATCTTCGCAAATCATTTCAAGCAACTTAAAAACATTCGCTTATCCCATCTGTTGCGAATTGTGCCAGATTATATGCTCTTCCCAAAATTCATAAAAGTGGTATTCCTTTCCGCCCTATTGTATCAAATTTAGGTACTGCCTCGTATCCATTAGCTAAATATTTAGTTTCTAGATTTTCCACTCTATTAGACAATAACATTTACACCATAAAAAATTCAATAGAGTTTGTAAAAAAGGTTAAAAAAATTTCTCCTAGTAATTTACTCATGGTTTCTTTTGATGTAAAATCATTATTCACCAATGTCCCAGTGGAGGGTGCATTAAGATGTCTAGAAACCAGACTTCGCGAATTTCATTTCTCTTGCATCGAAATTGATGAGCTAATTTCTCTCACTCAACTCTGTTTGAAACAAACACATTTTGTTTTCCAAAATAAATATTACAAGCAAACTGAGGGATTAGCCATGGGAAAGCCCCCTCAGTCCCATCCTGGCTGATATCTACATGCATTATTATGAATCAAAATTGTTTGAAACTTTAAACTTCCCGGCATGGTTCCGCTACGTAGACGATACTTTTACCCTGTTTGAAGGTAATAAAGATGATTTAAATAAAGTTCTTTCAACAATGAATTCTATTGATCCTGCTATTCAGTTCACTTTTGAACTTGAGACTTGCAATTCTCTTCCGTTCCTCGACATTCTGGTCACACGTAACACATCCAACTTCAGTACTACAGTTTACCGTAAACCTTCATCGGTTTGCCTTCCACCACACTTTAAATCATGTCATCCGACTAAACAAAAGTTAGCTTCATTTTATTCCTATGTTTTCCGTGCTCTTCAAGTTTGCTCCTCCAAACTAGCCCTTGATGAAGAACTAAATTATTTAAAAGCAATAGCTATTGACAGGGGCTTTTCACCCATTATTAATCAAGCAGTTAAAAAATTCTCATCTCAACACACTAAAAGCCACACTCTTATTTTAGGAGATTATAAAAATTCTGTTGTCATTCCCTTCTTTCCATCAATTAGCTATAAAGTTGCACATATTTTGCAGAAATTTAACTTTCGGGTTGTTTTACTCTCCCATCAATAAAAATTCCAACTTCTATACTCAAGGACCCCATTCCGGATATGAATTCCTGGGGTATTTATAGGATTCCTTGCCAGTGTGGTTTAATTTACATTGGCCAAACTAAGAGAGCCTTAAAATTTCGCGTCAAAGGAACATGAGGCATATGTTAGAAAAAAGGAAACACAGAAGTCTTCTGTTGCTCAACATTGTACACTTTCAATTTTTCTGCTGCCAAAATTATTCAAAAAACATCTTCCATTGGAGAACTGGATTTTTCTAGAGGCATTTCACATTCATAAAAATCTTTCTGTTCTAGTTAACGATCCTAATTCCAATCCAAATTTGCCTTCGGCTTTTAGAGAAATTATGTTTTAGTTCTGGTTTCGCCAACAGATGGCGCCACTTGCTTATTCTTGTCCAGGCTTTCTTATCTTATCTAAACATTATTTCCTATCTTGTTCATTTGCGGTTTTGCAGCTGAGGATGGTGGTTCGGTAAAACCATCGAAACTAGTCCTGTGAAAATTTTGTAAATTAACGCTGATTTTTGTTGTTTGACTTCTGAATTAGTATTTATTGGGCGTGTTATTGTGTCTTAATAACAGAGTGGATATTTATATACATATATCTATATGCTTTTGGTGCGGCCGGTTGCAGCCAAAATGGGAGGTGCATATCTACATGTTATAGCTGGCTTATATACAAAATTTCAATGTTCTGAGGCTAATCGTTTTTGAGTTATGCGAGATAAGTATGTACGGACGCCACGAAAAATTATCTTTAGAATTCAATTAAAATCAGTTTTATAATCAGAGGTCCGAATCCCGTGAACGGGCTGGCTGCATGGGCGTTTTCGTGGTTTTCCCCACGTGTAACGTGTATACGAACCAGTTTCCCTTAGAAAGTCCTCCACGAAGGATCCCTCTCTTTAGTCAGACAGCCCTCGTGTGCTTTGCCATAATTGAATAACTCATAACGTATAACGAATAGTCGAATAACGGGTATTAGCGGATGTCACTAAACTACAGAAAATGAGTAATTCAAATATATTTGTTGCAATTTTATTTCAAAATATTTAGTTCAAATGTGTACGATAAACATCAATTATTTCTTTTAATGGCATCATTTTATTCGAAAATAAGCGTGTAAAATTAACTGCGTGTACTGCGTCAAAACTAAGGGAACACTAACCGGATTCAATTCAATTATCCGATAATTTGATTGAAGAACAAATAATAACAGGTACCAATTGTAATATTTCCTGAGTCCAAGAAATTCAAAATTTTTGCTTTTGTTTTTATTGAAAAATGCTATGATAGGGGTCGCAGTGGACGTGAACACAACGGACACAGTGTATATAGTGGATACTGAAGAATTTCCGTACAATTATTGGCAAGAGCCAGGTAAAACTAACTTGCATTACAATATAACATTTTGAAGGATTTATCTTTTAAATAAATATAAAATCCATCAAAATAACAAAAATGATTCTACTTTGCTTACTTATAATATGGCATTAAAACTACTTGATAAATTACACAAGAAAATGCATTAGATACATCATGAACTAAATTCATTTTAATTCAAATCATTCAGATTAAAAAGCAAAAATAATTTGTTTAAAAACTCCATTATGTCCGTTATAACAAATCTGATGGAACTTCAAGATTCTGAGACCTAGCTCTCTTTACTTCGTAGCAGGCGTTTGGTGTATAGCAATGACAAGGGAACAACTGCTTTTTCCCCCTGTGTGTGTGTGGAGGTGTGTGGAAGATGACAATAGTACCATTTTACGATGGTTCTAACTATTACAGGAAAGAATATTAGCTGTGTTCGTATGCATTGTTTTGCATGTGACCATGGTTCATGATTACGAACTGAAACTTTAGTGTTTTGATAAAATTTATATATTGTAACAAAATTATAAACAGTTTTGGAAATGAATTTCCTTCAGTGACGCATTATCGATCTGTTACGTCGGGCGCCACTTGTAGAGTCATTAGGATATTTTAATTGATTAATTATTTGATTATTTAAGCAGAAGACAGGAATAAAGTGTTATGGCGTCACCGGGACTTGATCCCTAGAACTCTCAAATACGTGACGAGTGTGCTTCCAAATGCACCACGAAGGCACGCAGAAAGGAGAGAAAACATAGCCTATAGAGTAGCTGATTTTTGTCTCTTTGCATATTTTGTAAGAATTAGGAAGTCTTCTGAAGTTTTATTTCAAGTTGTTGGAAATGTTTGGAGCTAATAATTCTTCAAATTCTTCAAACTGACTATTATGTTTTACTATGGCGTACGAAGGTAGAGTTGTGCGCTGTTAATAAACAAGTGCGATTCTTAAGTAAGCGTGATTATTTCTAAAAATGACTGATTGGTACTAGTACGAGAGAAAGAAAAAATTACCTTATGTATTGTTAATTCAAGCTGCTGTCTATTATCTTAACCATTTGACGGTTATGGAAATGAGCAGTTTTCGTTTACTTAATTCGCGCAGGATTACGAGTAAACAGTAGTCGAAAGTGGCAGCTGTTTTCCCCCGCCGTTCTTCCGAAAATGTCACCTAAAATAATTAATAAATGATAATTATTAAATAGTAAATTATAAATGATCATAATCAATTATATAAATACGAATAATAATAGTTAATTATAAACGTAAGACAAATATTAAATTGAAAGGACTAAATAAACACAACTAATGTTAAAACTTTATGAAGCATTTAAATACAGTGATTACTTAAAAAAAGCTCGAAGTACTCTAGTGGATCAGAAATATTTGTCACGCAAGCTTTCATGCCCACATCACCAGTAAAACTAAATCGGCTAAAAGCGTGAGAAAATTAATTTTACACCACTGTCGAAAACTCGAAAATATTCCTCATCGCTTGAATCGTCTTCTGAGCTTAATATACTGTGAAGTCTTCATCAGACTCAAAACTTGGTAAGCTTTCTGTATCACAATCATAATCACCATCATAATTATCTAACTTTGATTTTGAGCCATTTTACTTTACAAACTCCCTAAGAAACGCACCAAAATACGCATAAAAAGAAGAAGGTAAAAAAAAAAAAAAAAAAATCCCCCTTCATTATGAAAAGAAATTCATGGAACCCGTACTGCCATCTGTAGACAGTAAAACTAACTAAATTTCGCGAGTAGGATTCCTTTGTAACATAATAAATGCAGAAAAATAATCGCGAACGAGCTCAGCTCGTCAGCGCGCATTAGTGAAAAATTTCACTACTCGAGTAGTGCTCGTTTCTAACCATTTCGGTCGAAATCTTGCTTCAGACCAGAACTCGCTTGCGCGCATTATGAAGCACGATTCGATTGCGAGCTGAACTCGTTCATAATCATCAAAGGGTTAACTGTAAGTCGTCTGTTGTGTCAAAGTATCAAAAGTGTTTGAAGGCATGGCACATATCAGTAGCTCTCAGTTTATGGCATTCATGAAAAATCAGAATACTAAATATTCCATTAGAGGCATAAAACACTTTAGGCTTAGGTCACTAAATATTAAACTCTCAAAAGTTCGATAAACGTAAAACAATCAGCGAAACTTCACATACATTAATTTTGGAAATAATTCTAATTCTTTACACAACTCAAAAAATGACTTCTTAAAATATAATCGCAAAGGATTTCTTAGACAGAGAAAATTCTTTAGAGTTTGCAATGTGATGAAAATAAAAGAATGCTATTGCTTCTAAATCAATTTGTTTGTTGATCAATAAGAGACAGATTAAATTTACATGTTAAATATATTACGCTTTCATGAATAACGACTCTCTGGCGCATTAAAATATTTTATTTTCGGGAGATTCATTATATTACTCTTAAGTAGCCGAGTTTGATGATTACGTCCGAGAGATCAATATCCTACACCTTGCTAAATTTTAACGCACTGGCAGGGTGAAGATGAATGAAGATGAACATTTTGTGCAGTGATAACATACTGATTTTAAGTTGCTAAGTTGTTAAACAAGAAACTTAAATTCGCTCAAATATTTTTTTTTAAATGAGAAACTGAAAGTTCGAGTTTGTAGGTGCACATGTTCCAGAAGAGGAATATGTGTGTTCAAAGTTTGGTGTCTCTAGGTGCCGGAGTTTTTACAATGCGAAGGACATTTTTACTTTTAGGGTAAGATAACTACCGATGGGTCGGCTCCTTTGTTGAGCCACGTATATTATTTTGTAGTTATTGACGGTAGGTGTTACGTGTTGATTGTTTAGTATAATACATAAACCGCCATCTTCACTTGGAGTTGATACAAGCTCAAACAAGTTTGCTGCAGAAGGTAAGATGTTTGTACATTTCTTCTGTTTTATCAATGTAAAGAAAATATAGAAATGAGGGAGACGTTAATAGTGTTTTAGTTGCTACTGACAACATTTAAAACTGTGTCATATCCGAGTTATGTGGCTATATTAGCAATAATTGTTTACTTTGTTGTAACAAAAGTGATGGGCATAAATATAGACATATATAAAAGTTGACCACTTGACGTTACGTTCTTCAAAGCAGTTATTACATCAGTGGAGTGGAGAAGTTTCTACGTCTACGGAAAGGAAGGAAATTAGGAGTTGTCAACCAGTTCCATACAGAAGACTGTTTGGGGAAGCATATGGACAAGCAGCAGCAATAGGGACGGGAATGAATGGTTTTGCTAAAATATGAATTTGGCCAGCAAACAGAGCTGTATTTCAAGACTCATTTTGTTGCAGCAGTGCAGTTTGGAACAAATGACATTTCTATTGCACAAGTTTCTGACACAAGCCTAACTTCTACTAATCGACTGTCACATAATATGCAAGCTCCAGGAAGAAAATCTATTGCAACCACCAGTGGAACAGAATCAGAACCGCTTTCAGCGGGTGCATCAACATTGTTGTCAAAAGTTAAATTTTCATTTATTGAAATCTCTCTGATTCCCTCTAAAGTCCCAGTTTAAAAAGGCTCAAACAAAGCCCAAACGCAATACTGATAAAAAGTAGCCCATATAAACAGATCCTGGGAAAAGGTGAAAAAAAAAGAAGAGGCACAACTCTGAAAATATCACTTTCAAACTACTGGACCGGGAAGACAGTAAAGTCCAAATATTGATGATTGCCTTCACTAAATAGGCCTATCAATTCTATCGAGGATTAATGGTTCTGTGCTATCTGGTGTAATGACTTCAAGGGCGACTATGTCTGTGTGAGTTCATAAGAAATATACTAGTGCCAGAAAGGGAATCAATATGTACTAGTGAGAAACATATTTTGTAGATTCTCACATTAGGCTTATTTTATGATTACAAAGGCTAACCTAAAATCTAACTCCTGGTGAATAATACGAAACTATCAGTATGTTTCAGTGTATTTTCAGTGGTCTGTGTTAGATTCTAGACAGCATTTTTTATTTACGAATCATACTCAAACGAGGTTTTTTTTTTTACTTGTATTAATACAATACTGTATAAAAAAGAAAACAGCTTCCGGCCCATAAAAATTCCCCGGCTCAATGAAAGCAACCGGTTCCCTTCATTGAGCCAGTGGCACTTATTTTCTTTTTTCTAGTATTTAATTAACATTTCATATTTATAATATCTATTCCTAGATATGAGTAGTATGGAAAGTAATATTTGGATTAACATCTACAAAACTGTAAAATTGCCAAATTTGAGGATTTTAAGCATCATTTTGTAAAAGTGGCCCATAGATAGCAACCTTCCTCTAGATACTACACAACTACCTACAAATTCGTGAGCATTTAATAATACAGATTAGATGTAAGAGGATATCTAAGAGATAGTTTATACTCAAAATGCAATTCAATGTAGGTTTAGACTGCTGTTAAAATGTTTTAAAACATGATTATTTGTTAAAAAGTCTGATGTGTACACCAGATGACTTCCTTGTACGGAATATTAAATTATAAGCAATTTTCCTGCATCTCATTAAAACATATTGAATTAACAGTTCACAATTTTTGAATTAAATCTACTTCGTGGATAGCGCATAAACCACAATAGAATAAATACACTCTTCGCTATACTTATTTACCATAGCGACACTTCGGCGCTAGGTTCACTTAACGGCATTACATCTCATTCATTTTATAACTCAGAGTGCACAAAAATTACGTCATCTTCAGAATTAACCCAAGTTCTGTCAAATACTATAATAAATCTAAAACGATGTATAAAAAAATTAAACAATTAAAAAAGAAACAGTTTTTCGCAGACTATTCAGCACCGCTTATCTAATGCGCATGCGCTACTAATTAATTCAGTTCTCACTTTGCGGCAAAGCAAAAATACATAAAAATTCAAAATATTTTCATTAAAATTTGAAACATATAGAAAAACATAAAACACCAAGTGCAGCTAAAACATTTTTTGCAATTAAAATTATGATTTCCATGAAAAGCATGCTAATAACTTTGTAGTCATTAGGTATTTTTTAGAAGCAGGAGAAAAGAATGAGTAGTGCCTTCGCGGGAATCGATCCACGGACCTCTGGAATACGCGTCCAGCTTGCTGACCACTACACTACGAAGGCATGATAAGAAGGCGGGAGAAATACCTTATGTACTTCCCCTTTAAACGGTGACTGCGGTTTAGGGGGCCCAATCACCAAATCCTGGGTGTGGAGAATCAACATCCAACAGCTTTTTAGTACAGACGCCACTTTAGAGACATTAGGTATTTTTGAAGCCGAAAAGATGAAAAATGAGCAACGTTTTCGCCGAAAATCGAACCACGGACCTCTGGAATATGCACCCAGCGTGCTGACCACTACCCTACGAAGGCATGCTAAGAAGGCGGGAGAAATAACTTAAATGATAATTCCAGAACGAATTAAACATAATTTAATTCACAATAATAAAAGAAGACGTTACTTTTTTGTTGCTTAGTTGCTCTAGATTGGCAACAAATCCACTATTCTGCTACGTTCATGGCTGTCACGGTAATCAAAAATTAGGCTTACCCGCACTTAAAAAACTTCTCTGCTGTTGATAATTCCAGAATTATTGCATGCAGGTAATTACATACATAATTAAGGCATAACAATTTACATGCATAATTAAGGCATAACAATTTTAACCAGAACAACATAATTCAATCATTTTAAGGCAAAAAATGCACAATCTACAAACATAAGAATAAAGAACCTGAGACTACTGGGCCGAGTAACAGAGTGGATATATATACGAGGTGCACATCTACATGTTATAGCAGTCCTATAAACAAAATTTCAACATTCTGAAACTACTAGTTTTTGAGTTATGCGAGATGTGTACGTACGTAAGCACAGACGCGAAAAACGTTTCTCTTCAGAAATGATTTTAAATCAGTTTTTATAATTTTTTGGGTGAAAGAGTCCTTTATTGTGTTCTTACGGGCAGACGTCATGCAAAAAAACATCATTGAATTGCATTCGATAGTGGTCAAAATGGATATTTTCTTTGAAATATGATACCTGAATTTTCCCGATTACAATACTTCCTTTTTACTTCGTTCAAGGAAGTAAATATACTTAATAAATACTACTACTTTCAACAGCACACAAATAAAG